TTTTTTCACTTTGAGTATAACGGAACAACTTAACACCCGAGGGAATTGTTAATTAGCTGAATAGTATATGAAAAAAATCATTATGATATTCATTAAAAGAATTATTTTTGTAAAAATAATGAAGCAAGCCAATTAATTTTTACCCGACTATTGTAAAACAGTGGGTCATACGTTAGGATTGATGTGTGTGGGTCATGTAATCCGCGAAACGATACGATTTTTGAATTTTAATCGATCGGATTTTAAGTTTCATGGCTCAAATTATTCAGTGAGATTCCGTGCACGGTTTGAAATAATTTCATCTAAAAATTTCGATCCATCATTGAGTAAAATGTGTTTATGAGGAGCTTTACCGAATCTTAACGTCCGCGTCAAGATCTTTAAAACAGAATTAATCCTGCCTCAATAAACCAACTTTTGAACCATCTGAGTATTAAAATCTCCTCATTTCTTCAATGGCATTTTATCTTAGTTATAGTAAGGTTTTCCTGTTGCAATTATCTCCAGCAATCATGATGGTCCTGATGATTAAACAATATTATTCTTAGGTTGAAACAAAATTTGAATTCTTCATAAACATTTGTTTTTAAAAAAATTATCTTTTGTAAATTAAAAACTGAGTGATGTCCTACAAAAACTGGAAGAAATCTCTAATAATTGGCATCGATATGGTCAGCTAATCTCATGTTTGAAAAGGCACAACATATATTTTCTGATGATTTTAGTTTTTAGAAAGGGTACGAGTACTTTGTTACGGATGGTGTTCCTTCTATAAATATTATGGATTAATTAATGTAAATGTATAGAAAATTTTAAAACAAAATTGACCCCTTCTCGAATCGTTGACTTTTAAAACAATATGAATTTTGAAACCTCCTATTTTACTTTCCTACCTATACTAGGTAAGGAAAGTATTGCAATCGGATCAAATTTTCCGATATGCGGTTTTTGACGGATCTATACGTTTCAGAGCCCACTGAGTCCGAAAAACACATTTTTAGCCATTGGTCTGTCTGTGCCAAGATTTTTTCGGGAACTACTGAACCGATTTTGTTGCTTCTTTTTTTATTTTATAGGGTTTTGACTACTGATGTCTGAAATAGGTAGGAAAGTCGTGTGAGTGGACACACCAGATTTTTTTTTAATGGCTTTTATTGTATTTATAACATTTATGGTTTTAAGTTTTGGAATTCTTCACCACCCCGTGAAAATTTCTTTCGTTGAACCTTTTTCATAAAAATTCGTCACTCCTCAGAGCCGGAAAACACACCTATACTGCCTTATTATATATAATGTAGACATCCTTCCAATATTCTAATTTGTTTTCTTGGTTTGTATGGATTTTAAAAATGTTCGCTGATACCGAAAATGGATTTTTGCTGACTCAGGATGCGGTCGAACTGACAACTCACACCTATAAGTTTTGGAAGACAAGTGATCAGCCAGCAAAGCAATGTTGCAAGTAACTTCTTATAGATTTGCAGAATCGCAGGTGATATTTCTTCTGGAAGAAGACTATCCCGGGGACCCAGTATATAGAGGATAGGAGACAGGCCCAATATGTCGCTAGGAAATCCTTTTGAAGCCCGAGCAAGGAACAGGTATTAGCAGAGCTACCATTAGTCACTGCTTGGGTAGTTTGTCACCCTACCCGTCCTCTTATCTGATAACCTTCCGGCAAAAAACACCCACCCTGCCTCCCCTAGTGCCCCCTCTATTTTCATACTCAATGCTACCTATTACACATCCTCCAGGAAAGGCACGCTTTTCCGCATACATAGTCTTATCCAATGATATCCTTTCCTATTTAGTCGGGCAACATAAGCGATAATGACGAAGGTGGCCAGATAAGATAAACCAGAGAATCATTAGCGAAAGCCCTCATCATCAATTCTTGTTCTTATACTTGTTCCAAGCTCTATAAAAGAGCAAACTGGCTTAAAGTTTTTTTGTTTTCTCAACAGCAGATCTATTGAAGTACAGATTGTCGCTATATACGTAGCTGAGTCACAGTGGTACGAAAACTCAAATGCGACCTTTCAACTTCGACAATGCGAAAATAACTGGAAATTTTATACCATAGCGTAAATTGTGTAAATTGTTAATATGTATTGGTTCTAAACAGTTGAAATGAATCTTCAGTGAACAACCTCATGTGATGTCCTGCTAAAGTGTTATAAAGTATAATAACCTAAAATTAATCCTCCACTTGTTATAACTTAGTTCTTCAGTTGTTTATTTTCTTATTTTTCTTCATTTTTTTTTTTTACTTTTATGATGATATTTACAACTGTATTAGTATGAATACATCAAGTAAATATGTACAAAGGAATAAAATAACATGAAACACGCTTGTTGAGAAACTACCCATTGGTGGCACTCTAATAATTTGTCTACATGAGGAGATCACGAGGCCATCTTCTTTTCAGACGCCTCGGAGGATTATCAGGAATCGAAGAGGAAGCAAGGTTAGGAACAAGAGGATGGTTATGAAGTTTATTATGGAAGGATAGGTATCTGGATTCGGTCTAATCGGAAACATATGGAACATTGAGGTCTTTTTGGATTATTTTATTTGTGACACAGTAAGGAGCATTGAGGATTTTACGAAGGATTTTGGATTGTAAAGATTGGATACGAGAGGAATTTGATGGTTTAGTGGAGCCCTACAGTTCAACTCTATAAGTCCAAGTAGGTCTTATTATAGTCAGGTATATGAGTCGTTTGTAATTAATGAGAAGTTTAGAGCGTTTCTCTAGTAAGTGTTGGAGTAAACGGAAACGTCGAGCAGTTTCTTGTCGTTTCAGTCTTGTATGAGGATTCCAAGTGAGACGTTTGTCCAGCTGGAGTCTAAGGTATCGGATTTGTTCTACAGGGATAAGTGGGGTGTTATTAAAGGATACTATGGGGCAGCAAGTCATTGGTTTACGACGATGTTTTTTTATTAAAATGCTGTTTAATACATGACTTGTGATAACCATAAATTAATAAAAAATTTCGAGAAAAAAAAATATTATTCACTTCAAACTTTTTTTAGTTTTCCGCAACTATGTGAGCAGATTATCATCCTCTTTTGTCAAACATTTTCTGGTTTCCTACCTCAAATTGTCTTACATCCAGATCCAGTTAAAACGAAAGTAGTAAACATAAGATGAAGACATTATATTAACCTTCCCTGCATATTTATAAAATTAAAACAAGCTTTAACAAAACCAAAGACATGTTAAGATCGAGTGTGCTAACGGCCATATTTAACACATTAGTCTTTTTTTTTTTATTGATTTATTTATTGAGTATTACAAAAATCTGTCACATGGATACTAGTTATAGTGAGGTAGGATAACATTCAAACTATATGTAGAAAAAAATATAAAATAAATAGAAGCAAAATAACAATAAATATAACTAGTCTTACATAAGTTTTTCGACTTAAACAATACTTCACACTTAGTTGCCTAAATACTCTTGATGTTGTATTAATCGAAAAAGAACGCCATACGTTGGTAAATATAAAAATAAATATACCGTTACTTTGTAAAATCCCATAAAATCATACACAGAGTATTAAAAAAAAAAACATTCCAATCAGACCAATTTAATCTCTGGACCCTGCCCACTGATATTCCCCATCCCCGACATGCGGAAGTTTGTCCATATTTTTTTTTTTAAACATACACGAAACGTAGATGAGATTAATAACGAAGAATATTGAGGGTGTCTATAAAAAAAAAAACTTTTTATGAAATTCCCCGATTTTTCAACATTTGTACTGGGATATGATTTTAACGCGATACCTTAAAAATGTCTTTACTTATGGAGTTTTTACAAATTTCCTGACATCTTCAGATTTAAAAAAATTACAGACATTTCCAGTATTTACGGTAAACCTCTCTTATACCGGATATAAATCATGTATTGTAATAATACATTGACAGAAAAACAATTAAGATTGATCGCAAGCCACATTATAATGTTGAATTATTTATTATACTCATGAGACTTATAAATAACGGCCCACTTTTAATTATTATTTGAAGTGTTTAATAATATATTTTTTTATATAAAACATTGTTATGTTCTATTCATTGCTTATCATATGAATTTAGAAATATTTTAAATTGTTAAGCATTTGATTTAATAAAGAATTAACGAAGATAAGGCAAACCGATAAAAAAACACCGTTAAAATTTATTTTCTTAATATATCTTACTAACATAAGATATTGCGATACTGTACTGGTTTATGAATTATGAATCAATAGATAGAAATTGTGATTCACATATTCTGCGTTTGAAATCGATAATTAAAAAATTCAAAATAAAATCTGATCAAAATTTGTATTTTTTTTTATTTTTTTATTTGGGTTTTATACAACTTAAGGAGTCATATCCCCAAATTTTTATTTGAAATTAAAAAAAAATTATTTGATAATTTTTAAATAGAACTATTTTTATTTTTGATCATTAGCGATAAAAATCATATTCTGATTATTATTTTTTACAAATAAGAACAACAATAATTTTTAAGGAATCCTTTTTTAAAATCAGAAATATAAATTTTTCGTAATCTCTATAGTATATTTTGAGTCTGGAGTAGTAAGCAGCTGAAGAATATTGTCAACTATTAAGAAGTGAACATCATTATTCCCGAAATTCATTAGAAATTGAGGCTTAAAAAATATATACATACTGCAGGTACCGCGTGCACAATTAAAGCGATTTTAAAAGAAAATAATAAATTTTTTTTTAAAAAGTGTTACGAATTGATCGCGAAAAAATAATATAATTTACTATTCCAATAACAAACATTGCTCGTGAAGTTCCATAATGCCAGTAATGCATACATCTTAAAACGTTTTGCATTGTGGAATTGAAGCAAACCGAGGAAGTGAACCATCCATTCCCAATGGAGAAGGGAAACTCTTAAATGATGGATCTCGGCCAAAGCTGAGCTATGAGCCTTGAGGGAATCCATGCATTACTTCAACAATCTAAGGAGGGCTAGAGGTAAATCGTTCTCACCCAATTCAGGCCACCGTTTCGTCTTATTAATGGGCTCTATAAATATTTGTGTATCCAGCATAATAATCTACGTTTGTATTTATTTTATTGTCATGTACATCATTTTGAATTATAAAAAGATAAGTAAAATTTAAAAAGAAAAACAAATAACTAACAAACATAGAACCCCCTTTATTAATACAATAACCAGAAGTAAAAATATCATAGAAAAATATGTCAAAGATAAAAATGTATAACATTCCTAAATAAAAAAGAATAAAACATCAACAATTAAAGACATTACTGGATGAAAATGCTGCGTCACAATTTTCGCATTTCTAATTAAGAACGACAAACAAAGTTGAATACTTGATGGTTGGCCGTTGTATATAATTGAGTAAGAAGATGGTCCGGGGTAGCGGTCATAAAAAGGCTAAAATAGTGAGAAATTTTTTTATAAATTAAAAGCCGACGTTTCAAGCAGACTTTCCAGGTCTTTTTCAGGGTTATGACGAACAAGATACAAAAGGATAAAGAAAAATTTGGAAGTTACATAATATTTAGATAAAATAGACGATCTGAATAAAATTATAAACAGTATCAATAAAAAGTTGTATTTAAATATTATGTAACTTCTACATTTTTCTATATCTTTTTGTATCTTGTTCGTTCCAGCACTGAAGAAGACCTGCAAAGTCGGGGTGAAATGTTGGTTTGAAATAAAATATTTTTTTCACTATTTTAGTGTTTTTATGATCCCCACCCAGGACCATCTCCTTATGACAAATAATGTTGTTTTTTTAAAGTAAATTTTACATACTTAATAATGATTATATAAATCGTTGGTTTATTGCAAGTCACTAAGTGCATTTTCAGTAGAGCTAAACATTTTAGAAACTTTTTTAAAGAATTTTGTTTTGAATGTCAATACAAAAATATGGTAGGTCCAGTTGAAGTCCATTCAGGACTATTGAGACCAAGATTAGTCCTATCAGATATGATAAACCTTGATTGAAAATGAATAAAACGAATCAAATAAAAATCGTTCTTAGAGGATTTTTGGGATAGTTAAAGGGATAAAAAAAAAAAAGTTGCTGTAATATGGATATATATATCTTACGATATGTAATTTCAGTTTCGCACTAACATTTTTTGAGTTAGACTGTATATATACAGACCATTATTCGAGACTTAATTTGGAGTCAGAGAACTTCATAACATATAGTTGAATAACAGGTTTCGAAATTGTTTGAGATCGCATTATATCCCCTTATTCTATATAACAGTAAAAATGAAATATTTTCAAATAAAAAAAACTATTAAAAATTAAAAACAAAATCAATATTGGAATATATTATTATCCCATCAAATGTTAATCGCACCACCATCAAAAAAAAAAAAGATGAAATAAAATAAAAAAATTATAAAGAAACGTGGAGAGAATCTCTCAGATTAAGCAGTCTAATTTATAATAAGCTTACAAAAAAAAAAGTTCTAAACTGTTTAGCTCCACTGAAAATGAACTTATGTATAATAAACTTGTTTAATATATTGGTGATTTCTATAATGTTTATGTATTGGCCAATTAATATTAACAATTAATACCGTTATCAAATTTTCATTACATTTAAAATAAGAATAAAACAGAAGAAGAAGAAGAAGAAGAAGAATATATACATATATGTATATATATATGTTGAGTATGACTTACCTGGTAGAGTACTTCCAGCGTGACCGGGTAGAGCATGTGCTCTATGACCACGCGAAGGACAGTGTTCGGGCCGCCTTGAGTCTCCGTGTGCCCGCTTAGGGCTTGGGCCGCCTGCAGGGCTGCCTGGGCAGAGGCGTTCTGCAACAAACAACAACAACAACAATGAATTATATTATTCAACAACACCTAGCAACAAAAATTCAACAAGAGACTTATAAGGTAAATGATGTACAATAAATAATTAATGAGTCTTTTTGTTGATAAGAAATGTGTTTCATCCGATCTGCTAAAGTTATGGTTCAGATTGAATCGAATTGACGATTAAGAGTTTATATGAATTCTAGCGATTGAGGGCTTTCTGCTTGTAATTTTAAAAGTATATCCTCATAAGGTAGAAAATAAATTATGTTTTCAATTGTTTGGTAGATTTTTATTATATTGAAAAATATGATTAAGGTTAGATAGGGATAATGGAGGACGCAATAATTTTTTTTTTTATATATTACTGTTTCAATTTTTATTCATAAGTAAATACACAAACACACACACGCACAATTTCATATCTATATATTCTACTTAATTTTCAAAATTTTTGAAACCTAAGTACTTACATATTAATTAATTCTTAAGCTAAAGATCGCGGGAAAAATATGGAGACAATATGTGACCTTGAGGCCTCAAGTTCTCCATGTGGAAAATAGACCAATACCTGAGCCTCAAGATATATACTTTTTACACATCTTTGTAGCCAGCCGTATCGAATCGTTTTATTAAACATTCGTTAAATAACTAAAACATGTATCGTAACCTACAATTTTTTATCTACGAGAAAACGGAGGATTTTTGGTTAATTATTTAAGAGTTAATATTTAATTAATTTAATGAAGTGATATAAATTCATGAATAACAACAACTCACACTATCAACATGAACCGTAGGATGATTTAATAGCAAAACCGAAAAAAAAGTGGTCTACAAAAATATTGGACAGTTTGGCCTATATTACCACGTTATTTTGACATGGGAGCGGAGGTCACGTCGAACGGCTCAATATATTTTTAGGGCACTTTTTTTCGATTTCATAATCAAATTATCTAACAATTCAAGTGGAAATAAAATAAAGGTGATCATCAATTTTTAGAATGTTATTAAAAGACTAAGTTTACCGATCACCAGGTTAGAAAGTGCACCAGTTCCGAAATTTTTCGTAAGTAAAAAAGTTATAGGTTACGATAAGATAAAGTAATTTACGAAGTTTTAGGCGGATGTTTATCTGATAAAAAGGATCACTGATACTATAACTCTTACTATAATATAGTGAGGGGACCTGTCTTTTTCAAGTGTTTAGTTTATCAATTGATACATTTCTCACTCTCAAATTCAACCCTTCATGATATGTTTCATTATTTCACGCTCAAGAGGATAATTTAATATAAATATTAATAATGTCGTCCATTAATTATTTGAAACCGACATGGGGATGGATATAATGTATAAGCAAAATGACAATGATGATAAGTAAATAAGTTATCCAGTAGCGACAGGGAAGTCGTGTTTGTCTCAGACGACTGCCTCAGTCAACAGGAAGACTCCTCTCAATTAATAGGACCCGGTTCGGCTGTTGACTCAAGACCCCTATCACTAGGGAGGTCTTTGGGGGGCATTGCGGGGGCGGGGGCCTATGTAAAGGAGAAGTCAATGGGAGGATAAATAGCTTATTTATTGGCTGGGTCCTTCGACCACTATCGGCAGCGCTAGTGCCCCATTAGTACGATTGCCTCGTTATCTCCGCCAGCTTACATAGCAACCGCCTTTCCCAAAACTTTTCAATTTTTAAGGAAAAACGAAAAAAAAAAAGATAGATCCTCCTTGGGGAGGACTCTGCCCTTTCAAAAGAGTTTTAGCCTAATTAGAATTGAAGCAGTCCATTTAAGGGAGGGAGAAATCGCTGGAGAAGGCAGTAATCAGAGGGAAGAAGGGAGAGGGGCATAATAAACAACATCCAAAATGAAGCTACGCACAAGAAAAGAAGTACCCTGATTTCCGAACAGAGCGAAACTCACTGATTATTTAATGTTCGTCGTATCAAAAAACATTAGGTAAACAAATGTGAAACTGAGTAAACTAAAGAAACTAAAGCAATTTATTTTGATTGTATGGCAATAATTCAGCGTAGTTCTCATACATCTTCATCAAGGCTTAACTGATTGAGTTTCCTTAGTTCATCCAGCATTGCTGGCCGAAAACTTTAATGAGGACCTATAATGTTGGTCGAAACGTAGCCAATCCAATAACATAACTCAAATATATTATGCGTCGGTCTGTTACCCGGATCCTCGACTAACGTCTGGTACAACATTCATTTAATTAACCGATGACAACAAATAATTACGAAATTAAGAAAATCATACAGCTAAAAGTACGGATTTAAAACCGATGCATTAATTGCCGTATGCAAGTTTTAGTAGATGTTATGAATAGTAAAACATTCTGTAAAATGTGTCAAATCTTTTTTCAACCCCTGAAAAACATATGCACGACGAATAAAGAAACGACGAAATAAATAAAAATATTTCTTAAAGGTATGCGAAAACATTTTTTTTTTCATCTGCGGTAATGGTGCGATTCATCAAAAGAATATTCGATTATAGAATCACACCACGATGTTTTCTTTTTGTTTTAATTTAATCTATGAAACAAAAGAGAATTCTCTATATTCACAGAGCAATTATATATATGAAATGTAGTGCAAGGAATCTATCATATTAACTAAATACGACAGGTCAACTACATAATTAAACAGACAAGACTTCATAACGCGGTTATGATTTAATAATAAAAATAAAATGCTAGGCGAATTCGAAGGTTCGATGCCGGTTTGTTCCATGTATGCATACCTATTTCTTTCCAACATTCGTCGTCCCAAACCAACCCCCAGTATCAGCCTCAGGCGAAGTTGGATAGATAGCGTTAACGCTTTCTTTCCAACTTCGCTTCGGTCTACGCCTCGTACATACATCAGTTGGCACAGTGCATATTGACTTAATGAAGGTTCTTTCGTTACTAAGCCCAAGATTCGGTTATGAAATGTTTATGAAACTTATCTTTCTAAAATGGATTTTATTAGAATTACCACTATCTTGTTAATTTTCACGAAACTTTCTCCTTGCCGAATGCCTAGGAAAAAAGATAAATTTCATAAATAATTTTTACTGTTAAAGTAAGTTGAAAAAGTATGAATTGGGTGAAGTGAAATACTATATTCTATTTCTGAATAGCTGTAACTTTTTTGGGGTGGAACAATCAAACTACTTAATCCATCTTTGAACAAATAAATAAAATTGTTTCTTTGTACTTCACATTTTATTTTATTTATCAAAAATTTCGATTACTTTGCTATAACAATTGTTCCGAAATTAAAGAAATATATAAATTGGAATGATTATATATATTTGAGGATAGGAGTAAATAAGAAGGACACTATAACCAGATGACAAAGAGATGAGGAGGGCGATATAGATAAGAGCACTAGTGGCAGAAGACATAAGATAAAATAAAGCCGAGATAAGAGAGAGGGAAAGAGAGAGAGAGAGGACGAGGGGAGGTGAAAGAGTGAGAGAGAGAGAGAGAGAGTAGATTGTGGCGCGGAGCAATCAGATGCCAGTATTTCCTGTTAGCAATGGCCTATTTCCTGTCCATCCGTCCCCTCCAGTTGCTCCACTGCAGTTGGTGGCCAATGGAATTCGGACAAGTACACTTTAGCAACTCCCATAGAAGCTATTATGACGGTAATCCCAAACTAGCATCATGTAAAACAATTACATATGTACCAAACCAATTCCATTTTTCAAATATAGTTTTTTACTATTCCAAGTCATAAAACCATCACAAATATTTTCCTATAACTTACACTGGGAAAACGCATACCTAGATGGCGATAACATGAAGTTACGTACATCTCACTCCATACACTCCAAACAGCTCGTCGGGTACCACCCACACTCGATGTACCCCTAAACTAACTACTAACTGTTGGCTGGCCATATCCTTTTCAGGAACCAAATCACTGCACAGCCCAATAACGCTTCTTTTCTATTTTAGTATCTACAAGCATTCACAATAAGTGATATATTCCATAAATATATTGTTACTATTATGACTGTGCGAACTATCACATTACATATAAACCCTTCTAATCTCCACGATATTATCGGAAAAAATTACATATTTTAACTTTTATTGATATAATGTAATAATATATGTTATATAGTGATTTATTAATAAAAAGTATATCAAGGAAAAGTGCAATAAAAAAAATCCATTGCAAAATTGGAGGAGTAAACATTTGTACGAAATAAGTTCTTTATTTTCACTAAGTGTTCATATTACTAAAAGTATTTTTAATAAATAAATCTAAACTTATATGCTCTAAAATTTCGTCAATATGTAAAACCCCAGATTGCTAAGTCTGAGTAAACCCATAGTATTTCATGAGTAATTTTTATTCTATTTTTTAAATATTGAAAGCTGTTTATCATTATCAGCAACAATTTTAAATTCTACCGAGACAATATAACGACACATATCTGTATAAATGACAGAGCGGCAAAGACTCTAGCGAGGAATTAATGGTAATTTTATTAATTACAAATAAGAACGAATTTCTCATTTAAAACAACATCGAGATTAGTTATTTCACTTCAGTTTTACACTTTTGTATTACAAATGTTTGTAAAATAAATTTTGTATTTTAATTTCGGCCGTCAGGTTATGAACACTGAACTCCCCCTCCCCCCCCCAACAATACTTCTCCCCTTCTTCTCCAGCCTCTTCAAATTTTTGAAGATACGAATAGAAAAATTGCTATAGCTTAAAATTTTCGAGTGGTAAAATTTTCAAAAGCAGTAGTTCGAATCTATTATGTTTTATGTATACCGAGTCTGCTCTGGCCTCAAATTCTAGTAAATTTAATGTAGTTAAAAAATGTATTGAATTATTTTTGTTTTTAACCTGCCCTTTCTTGCAGTTTTTTTTTAAAGCAGTTTTAGGAATATTCAAAAGTCATCCAGGGGATAGTTCATGGTTCGAAATCGTGGATTTTTCATATCGAGTACAAAAAGTTTTGATTAAGGTTTATTCCATTTATAGCTAACTTTTACGCAGAATTAAACTGATTGTTTATTTTTGTGTAGGTCGATCAGGCACGTTAAAACAACGAATGTTAAACGCTGTGCAAGTTAACATTCGTTACTTTAACATGGAGTAATCATTGCTTTTACATCACAAGGGAGGTGTATTCCCTGAAGAAGACCTCCAAACTCGGGTCGAAACGTTGGCTTTTAATAAAATAGTTTTGTCACTATTTAGCCTATCTATGACCGCCACTCTGAACCATCTCCTTCCTTTATAATGCAACGGTCAACTATAAAATATTAAATATAATTTTTAAATAATAAAAAATACACAAAATATTAAATTAATACACAACATATTGGAAACTTTTGTTCCAAAGAAATTAAGTCATGTCCCCATAATTCCAACATTAATCCAAAATATTTCCATAGAAATACGAGAACACCAAGTACATTGATACTCGACGAATACAGAAAGTGCTGGAGTACTACAAAAGAAGAGAAGCAGCCTCGTTACCGAGCACCTTTCCTTTCTCGCCCTCTCCCCGCCTATTTCCTGTGAAGCAGTAATTGGCCTATATTCAGCTGCCCATCCTACTTTAAGGGATTCGGACTTCTGGGTTCAGGATCCAGGTCTGACATCTTTGCATTCAGGGGTATGCTGAATATTACAATAATGTGGCTTGAACCAGAAGATAAACATTATTTTCATTCACCCTCTAAATACAATACTTAGTCAATTTAGAAAAAAGTATAACCTTTTGTTGTATATATTGTTTAATTTTTATTAATGTGGTTTTTGGCTAGATGTGTTTTTTTATTTATTTGTACATAATTAATATTCTTAAGGAACCTTGTTCCACAATAAAGAGTCTTTTCTATCTACACATTTATTTAAAAAAATTTACTTCTAAGATTTATTTTATTGCAATGTTCCTTATAAATACTATATAGCTTTTAAACTCTTGTATACATGGTTTCTAATTTATTTATTTTAAGCCAACTTACAACATTTTTTTCATTACCAAATCCTACGACAACGTTTCGGCTCGTCGAGCCATTTTCGAGTCTATCACGTACTTGTCGTTTATACTTCTTATGTGAACTACATGTGTCTTCTCATAATAACCAGCATCATGATGGTCATTTCTTACTATGTTAACCCCCACATGTTGTTAGTTTCATTGCTATAGAGTCATTCGTCGAGCCGAAACGTCGTCGTAGGAAATGGTAATGAAATAATTGGTGTAAGTTGGCTTAAAATAAATAAATTAGAAACTAAATATTATACATCGAAACAAAAGAAAATAATATTAAGAAACTTATATGTATATTTCGTATCAAATTTTCAGTCACCAGACTGGTTGATTACTGCAACACTGTATGTTGTACAGTATATAGGTATGTACAGTTGGGAATGAAAATATATTTAAACGGAAAAAAATGGGAACAACGAACCGACCCTCAGGGTACGATTTTACGCTAGGTATAACACAATTTCCTCCGTATCTTGCATATTTTAAAAAATAATGATTTTTCTTTGGGAGGTCTATTGATTTTCGTCGAAATTTCATGGCAAAGGTTAAACTCACACTACACTCCAGGAAGTTCATTTAAATTTGAAAAACACCTAATACTTTAATGTAGTTTAATTACCGGAGAGAGGGCGCCCCACTGGAAGGAAGGGTAACTATTAAATGTTTTATTACAGCTTCACCTCCAACAACCAATTAGCCAAACCGCTTCCAACTTTTAAATACTCGCAAACAATCCCTCCCCGCCTTGTGTTTCCCATTAAGGGAGATTATGTTTTTCAGCGGGAAAAATCCCCGCCATGGGAAAATAAAACAATCATTATATCGGAGCTAAGAGGATTTGTAACCTGACCTCAGTTGGGGGATCAGCGCTGGGCCTAAATTTCATAACTAGTTTACTTTATTTAATTAAACTTAATTAAAATAGTTTGGAATTATTTAAAAATTATCCAAAAACAGATATATATTGCTTCATATTTTTCCTTCAACTTTTAAATCGATATTACTTTGCTAAGGGAGAAGGCAGTGGATCAGCTGATGAGAAGGTTGTCTCCTCAACTCCTCTC